AGAGAGGAGAGGGTGAGAAAATGAATTAGGGATTTAGGGTTTCAAATTCTATATAATTTATTTTTTATAATATTTTTTATAATATTTAATTAAATATAATAAACTTGTATCTATTTTAAAAAGTTCTGATTTTTGAAAAAAAAAAAGATAAAATCTGGTTTTAAAAATTGGATCTCCAAAGGTAGGGATATGTGTAATTTCCACATTATAAACACAAAAATGGCCCAACAACTTTGCTTTCATCTTCAACCTAGCTCTGCATTTTTTATTCAATTTTTCTGCAGTGGCACAGTGGCAGAGTCTCTCGAAAGCGAGGTGACTCCGACGAAGCCAGCACGCGCTGCCACACCCCATTGCCAGGTTCTAACTCCGCCACTGGTGGTGACCAGTAGTTAATTCGACCCTTCGACTTTGGTTCTTGTATCTTTTCCGATCAATATCTGGATTGATTTTTGAAACATTAATAAAAACTTTTCATAACAAATGGTCACCTGGTCATTTATGGATTCCTTGTAAATTCAAACTTCCGTAACTCAGTTTTAATGATTTTTCAGGTTGTTTTATAATTTCATTTGTTATCGAAACTTTGCTTTCTATAATTTCTTCTACACTAATCTTCAACTCCTTATTTTGAAATACGATAAGCGAAAACAATAGTGTAGTCCTTAAAAAGTCGAGGCCAAGGGTCTTCAGCATCCTTCAACATTATATCCCTGACAATATACATTCTCGACGTACTATAAGCCCTCAATCCATCTACTATGTACTAAATATCCACATAAATCGTAAATTTATGACAAACAATATCATATACCGTACAATGATCCAAACAAATCCATGATATATAATCTTACGATTCATGATATGTGTGTGTTTGGGGGGGAGGGGGGTGTACAATATTATCCTCTCGAACTCAGCAAGTGACATACCAAATAGTTTCGAGATTAATCTACTGTAGAATAAAAAATAAAAGTTAATGGCCAAAACACAAGATAATAGAAAATTTAAATAAACATAAAAGGCATAAACTAGCAAACATATAGTGCCCTTATGGAATGCTTTACCTCCTTAAATACATTATCCACCCCGTAAAATAATTTTACTTATAAGCAAATACTAAATTGAGTTCACATTCTGCCTTCTTCTATAAGCATTTTTCTTATTTTAATTTCGCTTCATTCATTACCTAGCATTTTAAAATGATTAATAATGATCTGAACATTGTTTATGTCTTTAGATTGTCAAAATACCATCGACTCCATCCAGGGGTGGATCAAGACCATTTTTCTTGTGGGGTCAAAAACGAAAATTCAAAAATATTTAGGTAAAAAAAAAAAACTAAGCATAAAATAAAAAATTGTGGGGTCATTTGACCCCACATGACCTCATGGGGGTCCGCCTCTGACTCCATCACTAAAATTAACGACTAAAATGCAAAAAAATATAAAATAAAATCTTAACCCGTGCATAGGCTCACTCTCTCACTACATTACGCTTTTTATCCGAGTCAAGATTTTCCATAATTAAAAAAGTAACAACAAACTCAAGAAGTGCACAACTATTCAAAACAAGATTCATTCATTCAAGACTATAAATAGTTCTCTATAATTTAAACAAAATTTCGAAAAATTTAAAATGACATGACAACTTCTAACGTCACAATTCACGAAATATTCTAATTAGTTCGAAAGCTAGCACGAGACCTAGTTTACGAATCCAAACGAACAATAATGATTTAACTCTAAAGACTAAAAAAATGTCTAATGATCTCGAAATAACTCAAAAATACATGCATTTGTGGTTCAAATTTTAATATCAGAATAAAGAATGTATTCATAATTCTCAGTAAGTTAATTTCCATACTCTTGATGCTAATCATGCTTTCACTTGATTCTTATTGATTCTGAACTTCGTTTGTGAAACTCCAACGCATACTTGAGTAAGGTTGGGAAATTTTTGTAGTCCAAGTAGAAGTGGCAATGGATCCAAGCCATTCCTCGAAAGTCCATCTTATTTTTCATTTTTCTTATTTAGTCCGTGTTCGATGAAGATTAAATAATTAATTTTAATCACGTGAATCCATCTCGCCACATTGCCACCGCGTGGACTTCCTATTTTACTAGGTACAACCGTACATTGTAAATGTCGAATCCACCGCGTTGAATCATCGACTATCCCTATCCCTATCCCTATCCCTATTCCTCACTCTCTAAAACAGGAAATTATTAAAAAAACATGTTGTGAATAATCAAAATCTACAGTACAATGTAAGTTGTCCTTCTCTCTCTTTTCATCTTCTTCTTCTTTCCACTCTGGCCGTCCTTTAACGCGTAATACTTTGTCAGTGGTCTCCCACTATATATATCTCTCTACTCTCTTGCATTTATCTTAGCGGGTGCATCCCATTTTCATCTGCAGCTGTTTATGTTCTTTCGATTTCGATTCCTTCGACAACACCCTGTTTGATTCCGTGTGTATACATATTTTTTCCTCCTATAATTGCTGAAAATGCCTTCATTGAATGAAGAGGAATTGTTTCTCCCATCAACGCCTGGGAAGTTTAAGGATAGGAGCAACACAATGCACAGACAATTCCATCGCTGTTTTGCCTCAACGAGTACGTTGTTTTTGTGGGCTTTGTTCTTGGTGGCACTAACGGCGTCGTATTTGAGTTTCCAATCATTTGTAGAGTCGGGTAGCCGGTATCTCTCCTCCACGTGGGGTGGTATCCAATGGGAGAAACAAGTACGTACCTCCGCCCAGATCCACCGTGCAAATGGATTCTCCGTTCTCGTCACAGGTGCCGCCGGTTTCGTTGGCACCCATGTTTCTCTCGCCTTGAGAAAACGAGGCGACGGCGTTGTGGGTCTGGATAATTTCAACGATTATTATGACCCATCATTGAAAAAAGCCAGAAAAAGCTTGTTGAATGCGCGAAATATTTTTATTGTTGAAGGTGATATCAATGATTCTCCATTGTTAGCCAAGCTTTTTGACGTTGTGGCGTTTACACATGTAATGCATTTGGCTGCACAAGCTGGGGTTCGATACGCCATTGAAAATCCACACTCGTACGTGCACAGTAATATTGCAGGATTAGTCGCTCTTCTCGAAGCCTGCACAACCGCCAATCCACAGCCTTCAATTGTGTGGGCTAGCTCCAGCTCAGTCTACGGCCTCAATGAAAAGGTTCCCTTCTCGGAATTGGACCGAACCGACCAGCCAGCTTCATTATACGCCGCCACGAAAAAAGCCGGAGAAGAAATTACCCACACTTACAATCACATTTACGGATTATCCATTACCGGATTGAGGTTCTTCACTGTTTATGGCCCCTGGGGACGACCCGACATGGCGTATTTTTCCTTCACCCGGAACATTTTGCAAGGAAAACCGATAACAGTTTACCGTGGCAAGAACCGGGTCGACTTAGCCCGGGATTTTACCTACATTGATGACATTGTGAAGGGTTGTGTGGCTTCTCTTGACACGGCAAAGAAAAGTACCGGGTCGGGTGGGAAGAAACGAGGTCCGGCTCAGTACCGGATCTTTAACTTGGGTAATACGTCGCCGGTGACTGTTCCGATGATGGTTGGAATATTGGAAAGGCAACTGAAAGTTAAAGCTAAAAAGAAGATGGTTGAAATGCCTGGAAACGGCGACGTTCCGTTTACCCATGCGAATATAAGTTTGGCCCGAAGAGAACTCGGGTATAAACCGACAACCGATTTGCAAACCGGGTTGAAGAAATTTGTTAGGTGGTACCTTTCGTATTACGGCTACAGTCACGGAAAGTCTGTAAAGTGATTTATTTCATTTTTATTTTAATTTTTGTAGGTTAACTTTTTCTTCTTCTTTTGTTAAAGGAAAAAAAAAGTGGATATTTATTCTTTCCTTGGAGGATGAGGGATAGAAAAGTACAAGTCCTTAATCTTCAGTTTAGAGTTGTTACTTCTATTGTTGTAAAGTAAAGAGGAAATGAAGTTTTCCAATTTAGGCCACCCAATTTCTGTCATACTTGTGTCGAATTTATTTTTGAGTGGGTTAGTTTTTTCGATCACGAGTGTCTAGTTCGATAATTTGAATTGACAAAAGTGAGTAATAACATTTTGTGGACATCTTTCGTTATTGGATTTTGCTTTTAGTTTCGCTACTCTCATATGTTCAAGAGGCTATGTGCTCGCTTTTTATATAATCGATCGAATCAAAAAAGTGTCTTTAATACGAAATAGGTATGGAATTAGCATTTGCTTTTAGGTTCGCTACTCTCATATGTTCAAGAGGTTATGTGCTCGCCTTTTATGTAATCGATCGAATCAAAAAAGTTAATACAAAATAGGTATGGAATTGAGTTGAGCAACTCTTGACTCAAATCTGTCCACCTCGATCATAGATGGGTTTGGTTCATTTTGAGACGAGTCATGGATCAAAATGAATTCACATTTTTTTTTTGAGTCAAGCGAGTGCATGATAGATCGTTTGGGCTCATGAGTACAAACTCATTTGTGCTCGTGGACGGACTCATTTTTTTCCCCATTTTGTGGACTTGTCCTTTTAATTTCTAAAAAAATTGCTGGGCCAAGTCGAGCTCAAGTGTCTATGAGCCGAGTCGATTCGGTTCGACTATAGCCACCTCTAGACATCAGTCATCAGTTAAATTTTTCATAATGCAACCCTAATTTATTTTGACAGTTTAATTAAGGCAGTTTAATATATATATTTGTATTTATCGATTGAGACTCAAGTTACAGCTGGCTAAAACGACAGGCGGAGATACAAAAGAGCGTGAAAAACAGGCTGAGATTTGGGCCCCACAACCATGTGCTTTTTCCTGGAACTTTATACTTTAGCCGTTGGATTGGGAAAACTGTTTTGGGTCAGTGAACACTGGTAAAGTGTCATTTTCTTTTGCCGACACTTTGATCTTTAAATGGGCTAATTGGGCCTTACCCGTCTTGGTGTGTGGGCCTCTTTTGTACTTTTTTTTGTTTTCAACTTTTATTTTGTCTATTGTGGTGTCGTTTGTAAAGACAATTAAGAATGATAAATGATGGTTGGAAAGATGCTAACTCCTAGACTCGAAAAAGCTACATTAACCATTTCTTTCGGACAAAATACTTCCAAAAAATTATTCGAACATGTTTAGTAACAACTTTTTAAAAATCGTGTCAAACTGGCCTCTATAGGTTTCTAAAGTGCATTCTCTCATCAATCTAACATTAACGGGATTTCCTTGAGCACAAGAAAGAGAGTTCAATGAAGTGTTTTCACTACACAGGATGAGGTGGATGGACAATATTCACAAATTTGTACATGTTTCATGAGTAGCATCATTGTATACAAAGAAGGGATTGATTGGACTAAATTAGTAGTTAAATGTACAAACACAAAATCGAGTGAAAAACTCCAGCTAAAGGTAACATTACAATATATTTACACTTGGTTTCTTCCATCATGTCCGTCCGCCATTTGCTAGATCAGGAAGTTGGTGACAAATGAATGGTAGTATCAGGTAACATGGCTACTGTTACTACAAAGTATTCACAGCCAAGAGGGAGACCATACGGGTTCGATGTTGATCCTGAATTCAAGGTCAACCGACTGGTTCCTGTATCCGAGGTCAGTAAATCCACTGGATCTCTAATATTCTCACCTCGGTCCAATGTTGTCGACTTCACTGTCTGTCGTTCGATATGCACAATTAGCCCTACAATGTAGCTTGGACGACTTGGGAGATCGGCAGCAAACAAGGCCACGGATTCAGCCGAGAGATAATAATAAGGGCAGTTACGGTTGATAGCCTCGTAATGTCCAGCAGAGTTGAGAACAAATGCAGCAATTTCATGAACTTCTAACCGGCCAAAAGATATCTTCTCTTTATTCGCCTGTACAAATATCATTTGTTTGCTTACACCTCAAAATCATTCCATAGAACTATCTTAAATTTGAATCAAAAACCCTGGATGGGGTACAGTGAATCTACAAACAACTACAAAGGCCTAGTATAAAATACCTGCTTCTCTAGTTGATGCTTTACATATAAAGTGTTCACTGACTCTTTCTTCTCCTCCAATTCCTTCTTGAGCAGTTCAATTTCAGCTTCAGCTTTTGAATATCTGTCAGCTACTTCCGCACGATACCTTGACAGAAGACCAACTTTATCGGCAAGTACCCGGATACATTCACGAAACTCACCACTACTATCATCATCATTTCCATTGTTCGAACTGAAAATTGAAAAGGAAAGCAATTCAAACAAAATCATCAGCATCCACGACCCCCACCCCACGCGCACGCTAAAATGAAGAACTTTAAACCAAAAATCCCATAAATAGAGGAAAAAGGAGGGAGGGGTAAACAGAAATGAGGATAAGATGAGAGAATTTACTAGGCACCATCTGCAATATAAACTAATTGATAGGATACAAGCAAAAGATTTATAGAATGATCTAGCTTTGAGACATGGAAACATTTGTCAACAGTATGAATGTCATCTCAATCAAGAAAATCAACATCGGGCTATATCAAATAACTGACTGGAATATGTCTGATAATTTATTCCATTTTATGTGTGAAAAAAAGGTCTTTAAATGCTTGCACAAAGAGTATCTATCATTTAGAAAGTATGGACTACATATGCTGAGGCTTCACCAGCCAAAGAATACATCAGGCAGCTTATGACTTCACAATATATATAGCATAGTCTGTAAAATTGCAAAACATGATTGACATAATAAAAGAAATGTAATAAATAGTTGTTGTCTGCATAATGACTTCAAAATATGAGTACAAAGAGGAAAAGTAATGCAAGATACGTACTTGGCTAATGATTGAGCTAAAGCACGCAAAGAGTCAGCAAAAGCAACCGACGAGATACAGCTTCTCAGTCTTTCAAACAGGCTGTGAGTTTTAATGGCAGAGGCACGCAATGCACTATATTCTGATGCCCGACGATCAGCTGCGCAAAGATGGGTTTGGGCTTCCTCTCTTGCTTCATGTAGACAGTTCTCCAAATGAGCACAATTCATCTGCAAAACAATAATAGAATGTTTAAACTGCGCTGGTGCAATCAATTGTAAAACAGAAGATGGTGGATTGTCTTGTAACAAGCACTATATGTTTCTGATCTAATTTGTGGGTTATCCAACTCATTTAATTCATCCAGATCTGAACTTCAGCCTGGACATCAAACTCAGTTATAAAAGTTCATATTCTGTCACCTCAACAAGAATTTTTATCTTATGTTCGTTTCACACAAGTATAATTCAAACTTACAGCACCATCTCTATCATACTACCAAACAATACAACTTCTGACAAATTCAAGGCTTGTATTTTCAACCAAGCCTTGATATCTCAAGATAAGAACCTGTTCCAATCTTTGTTTAAGAAGATGCAATCCTTCTGAAAGAATTCAAAAGGCTGGCAGTACCACAATATATACCCACTCTCCCCAAATTCAAATTTTCAATCAGGTAGTACGCTATTCTTTTCCAAGTCTATGTATCACATTTTTGCACAAGAAAGAAAACCAGGGGAAGGACATCGAAGCACAGGAAGATGCAAAAGCTCTCAATTACTATCAATCTATCACTGTACATCTATAATTTATTCGCTAGGTCAGTTGTAAGCTCCCCCACCCCCCACCAAAAAAAAAAAACCAAGAACACTACTTTGTATTAATATTTTGAATGTAGCCTCAGTATTTCAATATCCCAATTATTAGATACTCAAAAACTTAGGTGATAGAGCAGTCTCTATTTCCCCCAAAATCATTATCTTTAACCCCCACCTCCCATATAAAAATAAGCTCAATGTCAAAGAATGCTATAGTTTCAACTTTCAACAAATCTTAATGAAGTTCTAACCCACGCCACAATATTCAACAGGATGAGAAAATTGCAATATTGTTCCCCAACCAATAGCCCTAGTAGAAAATTGGTCCCCAACCTTTAAAAAAGTAGCAAGTTCGTCATCAACCTTTGGTTGTGCAACACAATCAGTCCCTAGTGAAGGAAACGTCCTAATATTTGTAGATAGTCACGTGCCCCACAGAAATATGACTCACTTCAAAATTATAGGCATCAATACAAGCTGGGAAACAAAAACCTAACTCCATAAGTTGGGGTGTGAGGGTCACATGACTGTTCAATAGAGATTTGAACGGTTCCGTTATTGGGAACTAATTATAAAACAATAACGAACAGTAGTGGACCAACTAGCATATTTTTAAGGTTGGGGGCCAACTCATCGCTAGGGCAATGGGTTGGGGACCATAGAGAATTTTTCTCGAATAAAATAGGACACAGGCTCAGTTCAGTAAATTCAAGACCTTCAGAATTTATCACTGATCTTAATTTTAGAATTTCAGACTAACAGTCCAATTCCTTGTGACTCTGCAAGCTGATTTGAATTACAACTCTTATAGATGAAATCAATCTTCCAACAAGTCAGTAATCTGTTCTTCCGTTTTCTCCAGCATAATAATCTCTCTCAAGGAAGACTCAGAATCACCCATACTACCCAATTCTCCTTCATTTCTTCATTGACGTGCCTCTATGAACTCTCTACTTACTCCCCATTTTGAGATGTGGATAATTCAGATGCATATGGCAGCATCAGTCCGGCCAATGTTGGCATTACTGTGCAAGAAGTTTTCATCTGGTTCCAAGAAAATCTAAAAGGAGGTCTAGGCAGAATGCTTATTTCTCAATGCTAATATCTGGCTAATGGAAGTTCCCAAAAACCTGTGAGAATCAACAGTTGGAGGTGTCGTACCCATATCATACTGTTATGTAAAGCAAATAT